TTTTTTTTTTTCTCCTACTTTCTCTACAGGTACCTTTGTGATCTGTTGGACGCCGGGTTTGGTGATTCTGTTACTGGACGGTCTCAGTTGCGGTGAATGTCAGGTTCTTAAATATGAAAAGTACTGCCTGGTTCTGGCCGAGTGTAACTCTCTGGTGAACCCCATCATCTACTCGTTTCGGGACAAGGACATGAGGACCACCTACAAGCGTATTCTCTGCTTCCCTTGGAGAAGAATGCGCCAGCATGAGGGGCCTTCTGGCATCCGCTTTGAGCCTGTGAAAACAGAGGCACCCTCAGAGAAAAACGGCAATAACTCCACCAGTTTAGAGCCCGTTTCGCCACAAAGCCGATTGTCTTTATAGAAAAAGTATTTCTCAGTGTAAATAAGTGACTTTGTATTTGCTTAGTGAAATGATCACAGCTTGTACAAAGAGTAAATAATACTTTGTTTTTGATAGCTTGTTTTGGTACATGGTTTTTCTCTTTTTGACAATGGATGTATTAGGGGTCTTTTGTGTCGTTGAGTTACGAGGCACAGGCGGTTTGGCTGCTCACAGGAAGTTTTTCTTTTCCCAAAGCAAAAGCATTAATATTCATAAAACGGCCCTTTTTGGACCATTTCGTTTTGTTGGGAATGAGATCAGAAACCGAAATATACCAGATCTAAAACCGACAACTTTTGTGCTCTATTTTGGTGCAAATTTTTTTTTTTACTAACAAATCAGACTTGCAGATTTTAATTTTAAAGTAGCCATATTGTGCTCATTCACAAGTACAAGTTTTATTTTTAGGTAGTTTTATTTTAGGGGTCTACTTGAATACATGTACATGACTTTTTTTTCCCATACTGTACATTGCTGCAGCAACTCATTTCACCCTCTCTTCCGGTGTATTTAAAGCCCATTTTTTTGAAGCACCAAGTCTGCTTTGATTGGTCAACTGCCTAAAGCATGTCTGAAATGTAATGCCCCTTGCCATAATCAGGTTTCTGCTCCTGAGGCTTCATGAGCAGCTGTAAACGGCATTATATGTATGGTAACTATGCCGTGGTTGTTAGAAGTCCATGCAATGTTTTTTGCCCTCGTGATGAAAAAAACTAAACAAAAAAAAACTGCGTTGTCCCGACATGAAATTACTTACACAACTGTTCTTTGAGGGCGGGCCAAAGCAGCCAGTAGGCGGACCTCCAACATGGAGAACTACAAATGAGGCGTTTCAGGCAAGTGTTTTCTGTTGGAGTGAACTCGCTTTGGCATAGAGTTTGTACGTCGTAACTGCAGATCGTTTCCATGTATTACACACTAAAAGCAATCAAAAAAAAAGCATAATACAGGGTCTCTGTGGGTCTAAAATCAGCCGAATTAATGGCATTTAATGTTGCATGCATTGCAAAAAATTAATATCGTCCTATGTATATTTATTTTCCAATAGAAAAATCTAAACATAGCATTTGAGATGCAAATGTATATTATTGAACAATTTGCACAAATTTGAATGTATGCTTCTAGCACAAACAAGCATCTGTCAATGGGGTATGACAGCTTGTTTTGCCTTTGAATTAAGTAGATTTTTCTGAGTGGTTGGGAGCAGACATATTCAAGCCATAAGCCTTTTTTCTCATAAAATTAATTAAAATGTAATGGAGATTGGTTGGAAGTTGTATTTTTAAACAGACGTATTGCTAATACAACTAATAATTTTTTCCCTAGACATTCACATTTAAGAACATTTTGACATACCGTTCCCTTAAAGGGTTAGTTCACCCAAAAATGAAAATTCAAATTACTCACCCTCATGTCGTTCTAAACCCGTAAGACCTCCGTTCATCTTCGGAACACAAATTAAGATATTTTTGATTAATTCTGACAGCTCTCTGACCCTCCCATAGACAGCACTGTAATTACCATGATCAAGGTCCAGAAATGTAGCAAAGAGATCGGTAAAATAATCCATGTGACATCAGGGGTTCAACCGTAATTTTACAAAGCTACCAGAATACTTTTTGTACGCAAAGAAAACAAAAATAATGACTTTATTCAACAATTCATCTCCTCCGCATCACCCTGGTACCATTTTGGAGAGTATCCACTGAATGTAAACAGCGTATGTTGTTCTGTGTCAGCTGCGCCACGCGGATACGTTTTCTACGTTGTTTACACTTTGACATGAACGAAAACAACATATCCGCGTGACGCAGCTGAGATAAATTAATGACAGAATTTTCATTTTTGGGTGAACTATCCCTTTAAATTTACCCTCATAAAACCCTAATAATAAGACATTGGCATTGAAATCCTATAAACTTAAACAGAAAAAGGAGCTTTGCCTTTTACTGAGACCAGAGTAACACAGACTTGGACCACTGTGTAAAAACCAAGCAACATACTAACCGCAACCCTAGCAACCACACAGGGACACCCTGACATCATGGCGGTGATCTGTTTTGTTGATAAAATGTAATTGATAATGATATTCGATTCTTATGATCATGAATTATTGACTTTTCTTGAGAAATATTTTGATATAGAAAGCCTCACCTGATTCCTGATGTCTGGTTTTTGTTTAATTTCACCCACATAATCAATTTGCGATGAGGAGAAAAGGTCTGATTTATTGTGATCCTCATATTATTGTCCTTATGCCGCATAAATATTCAGGCAGGGCGAGACTCATTCATAACCGCCTTAACCAGATCATTTTACGGATTGTAACATGTAAATAGCCCCTTAATGAACAGCAACAAGAAAAGAAAAAAAACTACAGGCTCAAAAGCACACTAGATTATTTTATTAGTTTTAGTTTTTCTAATAAGGAACACTACAATTTTCTCATATTTTTCTTTTTTTCCTCTCTCACTAGAACAGTTCTAAAGTTGAGGTATAAAAGGAGTTTATACAGACTACCAAGTCTGAAAATGGTGGGGTTTATATACAAGTGAAATGGAGAGAGGAGAGGTAGAGAGGAGGGAGAGAATGGTAAATACAGAAGGAAGCGTGTACTACAATTCTAGTAAAATAATGATAAAAATCGAGAAAAAATGCTGATGTCATTTGATACGGTGCTGTGGAATCCACCTCGGATCATAACCCCAAGTTTCCAAACAGATTCTATGGATGCACTTTTGGGGAAAAAGACATTTAGGAACTCCAAATCTACCTATGATATGTAGTGTTCAAAATCCTTATTCTGTTACATAGCTTATGCATTTACTCCAAATGTATTCCTATTTTTCTTCTTGTCAGTTAGTAGTGGGATTTTCACAGCACCTCAAACAAATGCTACCAGCTTTGACAAAACCACACACAACAAAAATAACACTCGAGACTCCCGATCCAAATCAAATGTAAGTGAAACGCTAAAATGAATATTACAAAGACTAACAAATATTACTCTTGCTCATGAGCGAATCCAAAGCCCCCAGCGATTAAAAAAAACAAAAATAAAAGCATACAAAAAGAGAAAATACACTGAAACATTCCACAATCTGTACAGTGACATCCATAGATGACTGATAGAAGAAAAAAAAAATTTGGTGTAGTAATAGCATTAGTTGGAGATATCCATATGAAATGTTTATAACTAACAGTAATCTATAGAGAACACAATAATAACTGGGAAAGCTCCTCAGAGTTTGTTTTTCCATGTGTACATATAAACAAAACCCCAATTTACATTTCAATGTTATTTAGTCCTTCGTGTAATCTATAGAATTTCCATTCATATATCAAAACGCCCTGGTCCTTCCGCGACTAAAGGTAAACTTGGGAAAAAAAAAAAAAAAACCCACGCAAAACATAAAAACAAGTTCCGGAAATACAAACGACTTGTCTGGAAAAAGTTAATATAAATTCATCTGATGTTCCTCTACTAGCTTTAGTCCATCTGTTTCAAATCACAACACATCCAGTGCTTATTTTTGGTTAAATTTGAAAGGAGAAAAGCCCTTGTTGCTTGGCTATGTTAACTGACTACAAAACAACAGAGTTCCTTTGTTTAGTGAAATTGTAGGCAACAACAACAAAAGAAAAAAAAGACCGCATGCTTTACCAAGGAACAGGTGCTTTCAATTGCACGTACAATACAATCAGTTCAAAAGCACGAGTGAGTGATGAGATGACCCAACCCTTAGAAAACAGACACCCGTCCGTACACACAACACAGTAACATGAGAGGCCATAGCACACAGCAGACCAAAAAAACGTTATGATATCTTTAACGGTTTACGTGGTCAGAATTATTGGTGAGCTGCTATGGCCTCCTCAGAAAGATTTTCGCGAAACGTGGTCGGTGTGTCACGGATGCCTGTTGTGAAAACGTGCGATAAAATATCACCAAACACCAGCACGAAGTACTGGATTGGGCAGTATGACGTTTTCATTTCTGGAGAAGTTTATTTGGTCTGTTCCTCACACCCTCTCCTTTTTATAATATTTTTTTTATGTCAAAAAAAAAAATAATTAGGCTAAATGGAATCACTAAAACATCTCAACACCCTACATGCATGGAAGACAGTGGAATATTTTTTTTTTCTTTCCCTTTAAAAATATTTCTAAATACCCAAACGAATACTCCAGCTGTCCATCCAACCCCTTTCCCGAACACAAGGGCTTAAGAGTTCTTGTCGAGTCTTTTATTTGGTGGCTGGTGCATCTTTGAGGGGGACAAAAGGCTGCAGGAAAAAATACTGTAGCTAAACTATTAAAAACAAAGTCTCTCTGTTGAGACAGTGGACTGAGGAAACACGTAGTAGCCGACCGGGTGAACTCTTCACGTTTCCCTCGTTTCACACCGTACTCTCCTGCGATCAGCTAGTCAGTGTTCAAATGTCCAGCGTACCTTTACACTGATGGATCTGGAGCTCTCTCTCCATCCAACCAGCAGCTCAAAGTGTTATTGACAGGATTTGTGCTTAACACAACGTTGAACAATGCAGGACAGATTGTTTTGTGAGAAAGCCAGAAGCAGCGACTGGAAGCCATATTAAAAAGCAGGCTGAATGGCGTTTTCGTGGTTTAGTTGTCTGAGGTTGTTCTACGAAGAGCAGAAGGTGCAACAACCGTTGACAGCACTTTGGTACAAGCGAGGAGGGAGCTGTTGCGTAATCCCCATCATGACAGGTCGAAACAGGAAAGGTAACATGGAGTTGGGCTTAAACAGTCCACCCTTTGTGAAGACCTTTGAGGAGGACGTGTTTTTTTTCTCATCCTCGGCAAATGTGACGTGCGTCTTTTGCTCGAGGAGTGTGTGTGCGCGTGTATTTCAGTCTGGTCCAGCGTGTGAACCCTGGCACACCAAGTGGAATGAGGACTATGGAAGACCTTTGATATCTGCTAGAGTGAAGGACGAAAGCTGTGAGCAGGAGAGAACGGGCGAGACTGGATGATGAGATGCTCTGTGTGTGTGTGTGTGTGTGTGTGTGTAGCGTCAGCCACATTAGCTGGTGTCGTCAGAGTGGATGCTCGCAGGTGGTCCTGGTGGAGAGGTGATGGAGGAAGGGTTGGTGTTGTCTTGCCAGCTGTTGTTAGCCTGTGGAGAGAGTCACATGTATGAGGTCAAGTAGCACAGGCAATGAAACAAGACTTTTTAAAGGGGTCATATGATGCGATTTAAATTTTTCCTTTCTCTATGGAGTGTTGCAAGCTCTTGGTGCATAAAAAAGATCTGTAAATTTGCAAAGACTAAAGTCTCAAATCCAAAGAGATATTCTTTATAAAAGTTAAGAGTCAGCCACACCTACCTAAAATGGCTCGTTCTAACACGCCCCCACATATCTACCTCACTATGTGGGAAGATTGCATAACGCGTGCTTAAAACAACGTTGAACAATTCAGGACAGATTGTTTTGTGAGAAAGTCAGAAGCAGCGACTGGAAACCATAGGGTTGCAACCAATTTGCAGCAAAACAAGGATGTATGGAATATTGTATATAGATGAATGGAATCATTGTGTATTTATATGAAAATTATATTGTATTTATTATTAAATTATTATTATATTTAAACGTACTCGTTTAAATGCCCCGATACCAAACGCCGACACCATGTGATAAACCCCATCCGCCGATACCATGTGATAAGTGCCATATTCAGACAAAGAAACACCAACAACAGAATGGAGTTATTAGAGATTAAAAATGTCTACGAAGTATATGTATGCAATGAATATAAAACATTCAGTATTAATGCCTGTATAGCTGATTTGTGCCAGCTGGTAAGCAAATCACGCTGAGTGAATTGAGCGCGGCGGCGCAGATGCGCGAGCTTGTCGAGTGAATATACCTTTCTCACAGACATCACTGGAAAGTTTGTAGTTCTGTCAGATATGTCAAAAACAAGTAAGTAAAACAATGCACAAGTTACTTAATGGTTGGTAGGGAGGGAGGGAGAGAGAGCGCGCATTTCTTTTGTGTGATCTTTATTGATGTTTCGCTCACTTAGCACACATAATTTGGATTAAAACTAAATCGTAAATATAAGACAATATATAAGGGCATTCACTATAAACTTAATTTATGTACACCTTTAAGCATACACGACTTTCTGGCGAAAGTGAAACTAACAGCCTGTGTGAAATGCGCTAGTCTGTACTGTACTTGTCCCTCTATTTCTGCACCAGTACAAATATGTGTTGCGCGTGTTTTGCTTGCTTCATGAATGTTTCTGCATTATATGAGTGGCTTTGGAAAATAAATCGCTGCACGTTTCAGATGGAAAAAACACGACTTCTATTTCTGAAAATATCACAGTTAGGAGATTTATAACGAGTGGTTCCCTGCATTTTTACAGCAAAGCGCGTGATTACAGTACTAAGCCGCTGCAATGGAGCAGCTCTAATGCTATTAAATTAAAGATGTAGGCTACCATAGAGAAAGAAGAGTGAAAGTAACAACTTGTAAAATACATTTTAATGGGCATAATTGAGTGTGAAAATAACAGAAGGATATACAGTCAAATCAAAAGTTAATCAGAGACCAGATATAATTTTTTTTTTTTTTTTTTACTATTGGGTGTAGGACACTATAGTTCATTTATGTAAGTGAGGACAGCAAAATAAACTAAACTGAAATATTATACCCAAAAATTCTTCCTACAGTGGACTACCAGTAAAATTGATACAAATTTGGGACCAAAAATTATTCAGACAGAGTCTAGGAAAAAAATTGAAGTTCAGGTTTGCATGAAGCTGGATGCCCAGGAGACTACAGGCTGTCATTAAGGCTAAGGGTTGCCCGACTAAGTATTGATAGTTTTGTAAATACTGTCATACTAACAGCTGTCTGAATATATTTGATAAATGAAGTTAACCAACTAACATTACACATACTCTTTTGGTTTCTGTACCCAATATTTAAAAAAAATTTACAAATGCAATGAAAATATTGGTATCGGTACTCTGTATCGGCAAGTACCAAAAATAAAAGTATCGGTATCGGGCGAGTACTGGAAAAAGTGTTATCGGTGCATCCCTAAAATTATTTAAGAAACAAATTGCAAAAAATAATTTCTGTAAAAATTGATTTAATTCTTAGTGTTAGGGGTTTGTTCAAATAGTGTGTCCACACAGTAACAGTATTTAGCTGCAGCTGACTGATAAGCATCTAGAGAGTATTCACACCAGAACATAAAACGTGTTGAAACAGGAAACATACAAGCCACAAATTGCAGACATCAGACCTTCAAGTGATCTTTAGGTCTACGTCAACACAAAGAGCAACAGAGATTCTCATCAGATTAATGCGGTTTGTGAGATTTAACTGAAAATCATTCCAGGTTCTAACTTTTACTCAAATAGCAAATGGTTTAATTAGGAAAAAAATTGAAGTTCAGGTTTGCATGAAGCTGGATGCCCAGGAGACTACAGGCTGTCATTAAGGCTAAGGGTTGCCCGACTAAGTATTGATAGTTTTGTAAATACTGTCATACTAACAGCTGTCTGAATATATTTGATAAATGAAGTTAACCAACTAACATTACACATACTCTTTTGGTTTCTGTACCCAATATTTAAAAAAAATTTACAAATGCAATGAAAATATTGGTATCGGTACTCTGTATCGGCAAGTACCAAAAATAAAAGTATCGGTATCGGGCGAGTACTGGAAAAAGTGTTATCGGTGCATCCCTAAAATTATTTAAGAAACAAATTGCAAAAAATAATTTCTGTAAAAATTGATTTAATTCTTAGTGTTAGGGGTTTGTTCAAATAGTGTGTCCACACAGTAACAGTATTTAGCTGCAGCTGACTGATAAGCATCTAGAGAGTATTCACACCAGAACATAAAACGTGTTGAAACAGGAAACATACAAGCCACAAATTGCAGACATCAGACCTTCAAGTGATCTTTAGGTCTACGTCAACACAAAGAGCAACAGAGATTCTCATCAGATTAATGCGGTTTGTGAGATTTAACTGAAAATCATTCCAGGTTCTAACTTTTACTCAAATAGCAAATGGTTTAATTTTTCTTTTAACAAGCAGTCTGTTGCTTGAGAATGTGTGTGTGTGTGTGTGTGTGTGTCAGTGCTGTACTCACGTTTAGATGGTGTGGGGTGTAAAGAGGACTTCCTGACAGATCTTCATAGCCTGCCGTCGGGTGTGTAACATGGTGCAGGATATCCACCTGTAGCACACATACATCACATAACAGCATAAACACCACTAATACATTACATTAATGACACTTTCCATATTTAAGCTCACAAACACAAACAAACTCATTAAATAAATATAATTTTATATACGTATTAGTTCAGAGTCAATGCACTGCCTATACCACATCATTCTCTAATATGATGATGCCCTGTCTGTTTATAGTTCATAAAAGAAAATGAACATTCTGACATAATTTACATGTTTGTGTGTGAATAAAGGCCTCAATTGAATCGGTTTGGCATATTAAAGCGATTGTGTCTCTTCAGAAGACTTGATTGTTAAGGATTATGAGTGTCAAAGTTTTGTTGCACAGACTTTCAATGGAAGGACAAAAATGATAAGAGAGTATTAAACGTGTTTTGAAGATGAACGAAAGTCTTTTGAGTTTGAAACATCATGAGGGTGAGTAAATGATGACCGTATTTTCATTTTTGGGCAAACTATCCCTTTTAGTCCAAACTGATTTGCTGACTCATGTAAAGTGATCCACTCTGGGCTCTTTAGTGGCTCAAACTGATATAGTAGCAAATTTCATGTTTCTTTTGATTTTAAAACCAGACCATTAAATGTACGTGTATATATATATATATATAATTAAGAGAATGAGAACTAAGTGTTTAGATGTGAATAACATTACCACACATCAGATATGTATATCAATCAGAAACATTGAAAGTTCTCAAAGGCAGACCAGAGACACTATGAGAGACGGCGCTGATGGAGGATTGAATGCAGTGCTGTCAGATTACCTCATGTCTCATTCAACGGTCAGAACAGTACAAAGCATAAGCACATAATATTACAATAATAACACCTTCCATTCTCACTCGGTCTGCAATAGTGTAATGGAACGTGCTGATGACGTATCACATCTGCACAAATGTTGACAGGCAGGTAGAACAACCGATCATAGCCCTCGGCCTGAAGGATATGATTGGTCAAACATTTTATGGTCCTATGCCTTCCACAGATGATATAAATACATCTAAATACATTTAGACCAATTAGTGATTGCTATCGGGATGTGAAGAGACTTTCAACCAGCATAACAAACATTTTTTTTTAACCAAATCACCTACCCTGCCTTTAAAAAATTATCTTAACATAAATATTTATGACTTAACACAGACTTTTTCAAAAACATTACAAAAACTTTAACAGTAGTGCAATTAAGAAAATTCTAATATAAAATGTAAAAAATAAAAATAAATAATATTTAAAATAAATTACAAAAATGTATTAATTAAAAAAATAACCTTAGGCAAGTACAAAAGTTGTATTTATAGGAAGAAGAAAAATTCACAGGACATTACACTTTGAAATTTGCGAGTCATAAAAACACATGTAGTAGTGGTGTGATGGGGCAGGTGACTGTTCAGAAGCACTGACCCAAAACATCAGTAGTACATCCTTACTGTTGAGCCCTTGATGAAAAGCGTTCATCTAACAGGAAGGAGACAAAGGAATGGCCAAGGACATGACAGAAGAAATGAAATGAAGCAATGCCACAGGGAAGATGGTGGAGTTCGTTTCCAGGGTAGAGCTCTACACTTCTAAGTATCCGCTAAGGTGGATGTCATGGGTTGGGGCTGTAGCTTTGGGGAAAGGGGAAGAGAGCACTACACTGTGAGCAGGTATGGAAGAGGAAGGGCATTGAGGCGCCGTCCTCAGTGCCTACCTGCTGCTGCTGCTGCTGCACAGCGGGAGTGACGCTGACGCCATCCCCGTCAAGTGAGCGCAGCCCGAGGTAGGCGTCTCCTGCGTGAGAGAGGGTGTACGACCCAGACGACCCTGCAGCAATACACGCAGCCCATCAGGCACACAACCCTGCCCGGGTTGGGTTTTAGAAAAGCCTACATTCTAACACGCCCCCACATATCAGTCTAAATAAGCTCTTTGCACTACAAATCATTATATCTGCA